TACCTATTGTCAGCGGTGGCTTTTGTGCGTTAACACATCAGAGTCTTGTAGCAGAGTTTAGAATTTCTATAGTATTTAGTCTTTTGCAGAAATAATTTTTGTACCTCGTCACGAAATACTGAGTTCAAACGTGGAGCGTGTGCATTTTAAGGGGAATTTTCTTAAAGAACAAAGGCAGTTAGGATGTGCTGTCGATATCCGTGTGCAGGTCCATAAAAGTCATTTCTTTGAAGTCCTTATAAGCCCAAAAGGAAAAGAAAAAAAGATCTCAAAAATACAATTTCAAAGGAAAGTGCAGCAATTCTAAGGAGCTGAGGAAGTCAACAACTCTTGCACTAGGAAAAAAGTTGTATTAAAATCATATCCAAGGCTGTGTTGTATTTCGTCTTTCTGCTTTTTTTTTTTTTTGCACAGATACTCGTTTACACAGAAGTGGGCATGGCAACCCACTCCAGTATTCTTGCCTAGAGAATCCCCATGAACAGAGGAGCCTGGAAGGCTACAGTTCATGGGGTCACAAAGAGTCGGACACGACTGAACGTCTAAGCACAGCACACAAGCTTTTAAAAGCTGTGACTGTCCGTGAGCCATCACCTCCAGAGTTTGGAAAGCTCATCTGAAAGTTTGGTCTAGTTACCTTTCAAAAAGAAAAAAAAAAAAAAAAAGACTCCTGTCGAAATCTCTGAAACTCTGGGACCATCTGTCCTCTTACAATTTATATCAGAACCGGCTGTGGACTTCACAGGCAGCCCACTCATGACATGCCGCCTCGGCAAGGAGTGACAAATAAAGCCGAGATGCCTGTCCAGGCCACTGAAGTATGTCCTCGACTCGATATTCGTGGGGCCTCGGGACCCGGGAGTTGGGGACGTCCGCCCTGATTAAGGGAGCTGGCGACAGCCTTCTGGCTTCTCTGCTGGAATAATGGGAGGCCATTAAAATGGAATAGAGGTGCTGGTAATATAAATGGAATTCGATGCTTATCTCACTCAGCAAAGAGGACATTTGTGATGCATATTTGTGTGGGCAAGACATTTCCCTGTGCTGACGGGCGTTCGGGAGAAAAGGCAGGTAGACAAAAGATAAAGTAAAATAAAAAATAAAAAATAAGAGACTTGGGATGGTACAAAATCATTATTTCTAAATATTCCTGCCTTTGAGATGAACCTGCTTCTGTGTGGGAAGTATTTGCAGACTTTTCAGAATGCGTCAGAGACTCAGTTAGATAGACGCCTCCACACACACACACACACACACACACACACACACAGACACACACACACACAGAGGTACCACTCCTCGCCGCGGTAATTATCACACAGTTAGTCAGCGTGCGTCCTAACGCGCTGCTATGATGACAAACCCAAACGGTTCTGATGAACAGGGCATCCGTATGCCTCATTTATTACTGCAATGGTTGTGACGTTTCAGAGGAGATAGATGGAACTCTATTATGATTTAATGTAAAAAGCTGTAATTAGTCTGCTTCCGAGAGCTGCCGAGGGTTGGAGGGGTCAGAGCTGGTCTGCATCACGGCAGGGCCCGTTAAGCCAATTAAGATGGGCTGGGGCAGAGAATATCCAGCCTTCCGGAACACACCCATGGCTTTCTCCAGACCGTACCCTGCGCGTGACGATTCATCTGTCACATCCTTCGTTAGTTTAATCAACACATCAAGGCCAGAGATGGGACGACTCCTTAATCATCGTAATTAACGCACGTGTTCAGCTTGGGGTTTTGGGGTTGGGGGGCGGGGGAAAGAGACAGGAGACAAAAAAAAAAAAAAACAGGGGCGGGGGAAAGAGACAGGAGACAAAAAAAAAAAAAAAAAAAAACAGTGAGCCCCGCAGAGTCATTAACATGCAAACGATAAAACCACAGCAGCTTGTCTTGAGGTGCACATGGAATTATGATGCATGGATGGCTGAGTGTGTGTGTGGACCGGGGATTGGGAGAAAGGGCATGGTGTGAATAAGAAACTACCCCCATCCCCGTGCTCTCCCAGTTTTGCCCAGAAATGCAAGAAACAAAACAAAACAAAACAAAAAAACCCAAACCCTTATCTGCTGCAATTAAAAAAATATATATAAATATATAAGCCGGGCAGTAACTGCGATCACCTATTTACTGTCAAATTAATTCAGCGGCTCTGAAGATGCCATCTGTATCAGCCTGGTGAGAGTGTCAGCGGCACTCGGATCGGGCAAGCGGCAGTGAGCCCGCCGGTATGTTTGATGGCTCTGATAATGGAAACAAGAGGAGCAATTGCAACAGATATATCATACATTTTCTCATAATTATCTGACCTGTTACACGGTGTCAGTCTGCCGCCAAACACGGTGTTTTTTTTTTTTATGTCAGTATCTGTATGGGCATTCTCTCCTTTGATCATCCTGTATTCTGCAGATGTCAGACTTACTGTATTTTAATTGACTCTGGGGTAGCATTCAAAAAAAAATAAAAGTGCCTTCCTGACTCCTGGGTTGCCGGGCGCCGGATGAGGCCGACAAGCTGGCATTTACCCACATCGGGTCTGCTCACCAGCCACTTGCACCCCGAGTCTCCGAGGGGGTGACCGAGTGATGCCAGGAAACCTCTCCTGGTGGCTTTCCTTGTCTGCCCCCCGCCCCCACCTCCCCACCATCAACACGACCCACCTTGCACATGAGCTCATCTCCTCTGCCCGTCTCCCTGAGCATTTTGCAAGAAAGTGTGGGCTTCCCTGCTGGCTTGGATGGGAATGAATCTGACTGCAACGTGGGAGACCTGGGTTTGGTCCCTGGGTTGGGAAGGTCCGCTGGAGAAGGGAACGACAACCCAGTCTAGTATTCTTGCCTGGAGAATCCCACGGACAGAGGAGCCTGGCGTCTGTGTTTAGAGTCGGGAGGAGGGAGGTCGGTCACTACTGCCGACGGTGTGGTGGACCCCTCCCCCCCCCAACAGAGACCCCTCGATCATCTGCACAAGATGTGACAGCCACCTCGGTAATGAGGAGCCAGGTGCGTGGATTTCGATGGAAGCTCTTATCGTCCGTGGCCGGGGCATCTCGAGAGAAAAAAAAATAAATTTTCTCCTGGTTGGTTGAAAAATTCAGGCTGATCACCAACTGGAAACATTTCAACGCAGAGGTCAATTTATTTTGTCTTGACGTTTCACAGACAGGAAAATCTCCGGCCTCCCGTCCGGGAGCACGCCGTTGTCACGCCACGCTCTCAGCCTCGTTAACCCAGCCTGGCAGGGGAGAAGCTGTCTTCATCACGCCCTTGACAGACACGGCAGCACCCCCCCTCCTGCTCCCCCGCTCCCCTGCAAACCAGCCGTCCACCTCGCCACTCCCACCCCTCCAGGGACGGCTCATCACCTGCTGGTGTGTATAATTGCCACATTAAGTCTCCTGCTTTTGCAGAAACCCGAAGGAGGAGAGGGGACTCTGTGACGGGGAAAAGCGAGACATGCCACCCAAAGCGTTCATCCGGAAGCTTTGAGAGGGAGTGTTACTGCAGCAACGGCCCGTGCTTCCCGATGACAAAGTTTAATCGTCCTGATCAGGGCAAGACTGAAGTCAATGGGCTCATCACTGAGCAGAAGGCTCTTGGGAAAAACTTGCTGTCCCTCGAGCCACACGCTTCGCCTCTGTCTTCCACAGTTTGAGGTGGCTCAGATGGTAAAGACTGATGAGCAAAGCCTACTGCTTAGAAAACACCCTGATGCTGGGAAAGATTGAGGGCAGGAGGAGAAGGGGACGACAGAGGATGAGATGGCTGGATGGCATCACCGACTCAATGGACATGGGTTTGGGTAAGCTCCAGGAGATGGTGATGGACAGGGAGGCCTGGTGTGCTGCAGTCCATGGGGTCTCAAGGAGTCAGGCATGACTGAGCGACTGAATGGCAGACGGTAAAAAGCCTACCCTCGATTCGGGAGACCCAAGTTCGATCCCTGGATCGGGAAGATCCCCTGGAGAAGGGAATGGCAGCCCACTGCAGTATTCTTGCCTGGAGAATCTCATGCACAGAGGAGCCTGGTGGGCTACAGCCCATGGGGTTGCAGAATCTGACACGACGAACTAACTTTTTCACTCTCACGCTGTTGGCCCCCTCGGTATGTGTGGCAGCCCTAAGGATTCCAGCCTTATAGATCCCAGTCTTATGGATCTCAGCTTTACAAATAGAACTCTTTGCATCTCAACCCTATGGACCCCAATATGGTAGCTAGCTCCCACCTCTGTCTGTCCCAAACCGATGGATTCCGGCTCTTGTTGTATCTAAACCCTCTGGGACCCAGCCCTCGGAAGTCCGTTCCTGTGGATGCAACCTTTCAGAATCCAGTCCTGTGAGCCCCAGGTGTGTAGACCTCCCACTCTATGGGTCCTAGCCATGTGGATCCTAAAACTACGGGTCACAGCCTTATAGATTCCAGCTTATATTTCCCAGTCGTAGAGGTGCTTTTCTTGGTGTGTGTTCACGCTCTGTCGCTCAGACGCGTCCCCCTGGGCTGTAGCCCACCAGGCTCCACTGCTCATGGGATTCTGCAGGCGAGAATACGGGAATCGGTTGCCAATTCCTCCTCTAGAGTCCTCCTCTTGGATTCATCCTAAAAGCCTTACCACCTCCCTGGAGCAGAGCACGGGTCCACCAACCCTCTTTGGCTGAAACGGAGCTTTCCGGGGTTTTCTCCATGGGCACCAGGAAGCCCATCACCATCTCTGAGCTCCTCCAAGCTCCATGTTGTCTGGAAGGCTTGATGACATGCTGCCCGCTTCCCTTCCCTGCGGTACCCATGTGGTCGCTGTGATGCTCGCACATCCCGGATGCCCTCGAAACAACCTTGGGTCTCCCATGACACCTTGAGGCAAAATTCAAATTAAACTGGAAAGAACCCTGGGTCGGAGAAGCACTTCTGAATATCAATAAATTAACATTAAAAAAAAAAAAAACTCGAAGCCAAGGACGCGTCTCTGTAACGGAAAGACGTCTCTGGGAGAGCTGTGTAGAGGCAGGATGTGGGTCTCTCATAAAATCCCAGAGCTGCTCGTAAAAAAAAGCAGTGGGAATCAAGTGCCCAACCGCTTTAGTGCACTACGGAAAAAGAACACCCGAACAGGGGAGAGGGTCAAGTCTCCTCCAGCGAGTCAAGCGTGCCTTTCCAGACGACCCGAAAAGAAGAACTCGGAGGAGAAGGTGCAGGAGAGCGAAGTGGGTGTAGTACAAGGCGATTTGGAGCGAGGCGGGCTGGTCCAAGCTGTGCATAAGAAGACTGGCCAAGAGCCGACCATCTCCCGACACCTCTTTAACTTGCATTTGACCTTTAAAAAAACTCTGTGGCAAAAAAACGAAATTAAAAAAAACCTCATAAAACTTACCATCTTAACCATTTTTAGGCACACAGCTCCGTGGAGTGAAACATGTTCACAGCATCCGTACAACCCTCGCCACCATCCACCCTCAGCACATGTTCATCTCCACAAACTGAAACTCTGTCTCTGTGAAACATTGACTTCCATTCCCATCTTTTTCCACGTTCTGGTCTCTGTGAACTAGACTCCCCTAGAGACCATCCCCCCCATGAGTGGAATCACACAGTGTTTATCTTCGTGTGACTTTCTGATTTGACTCAGCATCACATCTTCAAGGTTTGCACGCAGTACAGCCTGTGTCTCCATTTCCTTCCTTTTTCAAGGCTGAATAATATTCCATCCCGGGCTTCCCAGGTGGTGCTGGTGGTTAAGAACTCGCCGGCCTATGCAGGAGACTATAGAGACGTAGGTTCAATCCCTGGGTAGGGAAGATCCCCTGGAGGAGGAAAGGGCAGCCCGCTCCAGGATTCTTGCCTGGAGAATCCCATGGACAGAGGAGCCCGGTGGGCTACACTCCCTGGGGTTGCAGAGAGTCGGACACGACTGAATCAACTTAGCACAATATCCCATACCCTGAGTATCCATCACCAATTTGTGAACACTTAGATTGCTTCACCCCTTTGGCTATTCAGAGTAATGCTGCCATGAACATGGACACCCAGACAGTCTCTTCAGGACCCTGCTTTTGATTCTGCCGGATACATGCCCAGAACTGGCATTCCTGGATCCTACACTAGATGGACGTTGAGTTTTTTTGAGGAACCTCCGTAGTAATTTCCTCAGCGGGCTTTGATATCCATCTTAGCTTCCCAGCAGCAGTGCAGAAGGGTCCCAGTTTCTCCACATTCTCCGCAACACTTGTTATTTTCCATGTGTTGGTGGTGGCCATTCTAATGCACTTGGTGTTCATCTGCGTGATGCATGAAGTCACCTGGGGTTTAACTTGAGAACTCCAACTTGTACGCTGTGGGCCTGCTCAGTCATGTGCGACTCTTTGCAGCCCTGTGGACTGTAGCCCCACCAGGGCCCTCTGTCTGTGGGGATTCTCCAGGCAAGGATAACGGGAGTGGGTTGCCATGCCCTCCCTCCAGGGGATCTTCCCTACTTAGGGATGGAACCCGGGTCTCCTGCACTGGTGGGGAGTTCCTGACCACCAGCACCGCCCGGGAAGCCTGGTTGGATGACAGCAAATCACTGCCTCATTCTGAGGCTGCCTTCTAACTGGAAAACAGATGGAAGATCCCAGAACTCAGCACTCACTGAAGAAGGCTCCCGTTCACCAACTCTGTAGCATTGATGTGCCATCCTCCGAGATGAAAGCCTACTGCTTCCGCCGACTTGTCTGATCCTCCCGACCCCCGCACCCCCCCGCCCGTGTAAATTTCTTAACACACTCACCACCGTGGAACTCTCCTTTCAAAGGCACCCCTCAGCTGTCATCCCAGGAAGGTGGGGGTTGACGCTTATCACTTTTTCCCTCGGACTCTCCATCCTCACAGCTGAGACCTTCACCACCTCCCCTCTGCCACCTGCATTTGATGTCTACGCTCCAAAAAAAAAGAAAAAATGCCCCATTTGAGTTGACACCCGGCTTCCACGAAACCAACTGCCCAGGAAGTCTTATCAAAGCCTGCCTGCAGTCCTCCTGCTCCTCACAAAGCTCTCTTCTCTGACCCTTTCTTTGGGGGAAAAAAAAAAAAAAAACCCGAGAGAGCAAACGTTTTGAAAGCCTTCCTTTCATTCATACAAAAGCCTTGTCTGAAATGCCGCCCCCACCCCCCCACCCCCCGAGCTGAGAGCCGGGAAGGAAGGAGCTTCCCATTTGGAAACCTCCCCTTCCATCTAGATGCCCCGGGAAAAATCCACAGCCTCTGTGAGATGGGCTCGCCCAGCTCGTGGGGCCATGTGTGGACTCTCCAGTCCCACGTGGCTTTGGTGACTTTCAGTCTGAACCCGACGCTTGGTGTAAGATTTCCCTCGACGCACCCGAAAACGAAGAGGTGATGGTGCGCAGTGACACGGACGCGGAAGGGCAGAGGGGTCTGTGTTCGAGGTATTTAGTCAGAACCAACTTGCCCGGTGAGGACCAGCTGTTCCATCACCCCGCCCACCCGGACTCTGCCCAGGAAGTAGTGATGAGAGGGACATCCCTGTTACAGGCAGGAAGGGCGCTCAGCTTCTCCAAGAGAGGAGAAAGAAAGGAAGAAAGAAGAAAGGAGAGAGAGTTAGTCACTCAGTCGTGTCCGACTCTCCGCAACCCCATGGACTGTAACCTGCCAGGGTCCTCTGTCCATGGGGATTCTCCAGGCAAGGATACTGGAGAGGGTTGCTATGCCCTCCTCCAGGAGGCTCTTCCCGACCCGAGGATTGAACGTGGGCCTCCTGCAGTGCAGGCAGAGTCTTTACCATCCGAGCCAGCAGGGAAGCCCTAGGAAGGGTTTACGCTTTAGATTTCATATATCCTGGTCTTTGCATTCACACGGATGCTTGTTATCTTTAATTTTTATTCAGGCAAAATGTCACACAGCACACAAGTCGACATTGTGGACTGCACAGTTCGGTGGAGACTTGGCACATTCATAGTGTGGTGTAGCCACCACTCCTATCATGCTTCAGAACTTCTACGTTCCTCATCCCCCAAGGGAGACACCGTGCTCATGAATTGTCGCTCCCCCGTCCCCCTGCCCTGACCCCTCCGGCACCACGAACCCACCTCCTGTCTCTGTGGATCTGCCTGCTCTGGACGTCTCCTGTCAATGGAATCACACACATGCATCCTTCTGTGTCTGCTTCTCCCTCTGAGCATCATGTGTTCAGGGTCCATCCGTGTTGTAGCCTGTGTCAGAGCTTCGCTCTTTTTCATGGCTGCGTAATATTCCACTGCATGGACGGATCACATGCTGTTTATCCATCATCCATCCACTCATCCACCCATCCATCCTTTGTCATCCAACCATCCATCACCCATCCATCCATGTACCCACTTACTCATCTATCAACATACATGCTTATCCATCCATCCATTCATCCACCTACCCATTTATCTATCATCTATGCATTCATCTACATACTCACTTATCCATCCATCCATCTATCCCTCCATCCATCCATTCATCCACCTACCCATTTATCTATCATCTATGCATTCATCTACATACTCACTTATCCATCCATCCATCTATCCCTCCATCCATCCACCCACCCACTTACCCATCCATCCATCTATCTATGCATCCATTCACCTACCCAGTTACCCATCTATTCACATACACACTTATCCATCCATCCATCCATCCATCTTTCCCTCCATCCATCCACCTACCCACTTATCCATCCACCTACCCACTTACCCAACTGTCCATCTATTCACATACACAGTTATCCATCCATCCACCTACCCATTTATCTATCCGTCCATCCTTCCACATACCCTCTTATCCGTCCATCTATCCATCCACCTATCCACCTACCCATGCATCCATCTATCCACATCCCCACTTATCCCTCCATCCATACACCTACTCACTTATACATCATCCATCCATCCATCCATTCACACAACCACTTATCCATCCTTTGTCATCCATCCATCCATCCATCCACCCATCCATGTACCCACTTATCCATCCATCCATCCACCTTCCCACTTACCCATCCATACATATATCTACATATCCACTTATCCACCCATTCATTGACCTATCCATTTATCTATCCATCCATCCACATACTCACTGATCCATCCATCCAACCATCCATCCATCCCTTCATCCATCTACCTACTAATTCCTCCATCCATCCACCTAGCCATTTACCCATCCATCCATCTATCCACATACTCACTCATCCATCCATTCATCCATCCATCCACCCATCCATCCATCCATCCATCCACACAACCACTTATCCATGTACCCACTTATCAATTCATGGATACTTGGGTTGTTTCCGCTTCTTGGCTGCTTTGAATGTGTTAGTGTTCTCCAGAGAAGCAGACCGATAGGTGATTTTATATATGCATGAGTCATATAATACAGTCTAGCTTGGAACAGAACAGGTTAACCCACCCTTATTTCTGGGTGTCATATCTATGGGCGTCAGGCCTCTGCCTCCGCTTCTCAGAATTCAACCAGTCTCAGAATGCCTGGCCTGTAATATTTCATCCTGAAAAATATTTATGTATAGGTGGAGCCACACAGTGTCAGCTATATTGTTCTAAGGTCTAACCATAGAATAAGATACACATTAGAGGGTTATATACAGGGCATTATTCTATATATTAATCTTATGCTATGAGACAGAAATGTGTAGCTCTTCATTATAAGACCTCCCACATGTTTTTGTTTTGTTTTGTTTTTTGGTCATGTGTGTGTAGGACCTTGGCACTCCCTGACCAAGGGTTGAGCCCATATCCCCTGCAGCAGGAGCATGGAGTCCTAACCACTGGACAGCTGGGGAAGGCCTCCCTCATGTTTTAAAGCACTTCTATTCCATTGGCCAGAAAGGTGTGTGTGTAGAAAGGTGTGTGTGTGCGTGTATGTGTGTGTGTGTGTGTGTGAGTGTGTGTGTGTGGTCTCAGTTGCTCAGTCATCTCTGACTCTTTGTGACGCCATGGACTGTAGCCCACCAGGCTCCTCTGTCCATGGGATTCTCCAGACAAGAATACTGGAGTGGGTTACCATTTCTTCCTCCAGGGGATCTTCCCAACCCAGGGATCAAACCCTCACACACTCTGATGTTTTAAAGCATTTCTATTGGGTTGGCCAGTTAGTTTGGGTTTTCTCCGCAAGATATCACAGAAACACCTGAACGAAGGTTTCAGCCAGCACAATATTCTCA